AGTCCCAAATGAATTTAAGAACTAAACATTCATTCGATATAGGGGCACCAATGTAACACCCCAATTTTATTTATTAGTTATTTTATTAGTTGTTTATTTTACTAATTAGAATGTGATATAGTAATTATTTAAATTGTGTGATTTAGTAAATATATGGAGTATTTGGATTAATATGTGTTATGTGTGTATTGGATTATAGAATTATTACACTGTGAGATGCATATGTTTTAGTGTATGAAACATTATTTTAAATGCGTGTTATGAGCATGACCGGTGTATTTATGTTGGTTTTGAAATACATTTGACACTCTCTTATGATATGCATGATAATTTACTCTGATTATGGCATTTATTATACGCGAGGTTTTGGGGTGTTACAACCAACATTAGATAGATGATCAGAGAGACTTGAGATGATGATAGTGGGAGGAAGCATCAGAGAATTGCTCCATATGAGTTTGAAAAAATTCTTTCTCTAGGTAGAGAGCCTAGAATTCTTGTTATCATAAAAGATGTAGAATAACCGACTCCATGTGATTTCAGCGGTGGAATTATGTTCAATGATAGTGTTGAGAAGATCATCGGAGATTTTTCATATATCATTGTAAAATGACAGCGTTGAGACGAAGCCATAAATGTGGATAATTATTTTTGAGAGAGGGATCTGCGGCTGGTTCAGAGGGAATGATATGGTCAATCACTTGAATAACTCGAGCATGAATTTTGAAAAGTTCTGATCACGTGTTATACGTTCCCTTTTTAGTGCTCAGAGTAATCTTGATGAAATTAGTAATATTTGGGACAGTGAGAATTAGTCTCTTATGCCAATAGTTAGTGACTTGGTTTATATAATTAACATGTATTATTCATTTTTATTGTATAGACTACAGTTTTTCCCTACAAAGTTTTTTTATAGCAAAAATATATTGCAACCTATTAAATAAAGTTTTTGTTATAGTAAAAATATGTTGCAACATATTAAAGAGAATATCAATAGTCTAAAGTTGCTATGTGAAATGAATATTTTTGGCATAGATAATTCACATGAATTATATTTGAGGTATTTAATATCTTTGTATTACACAACATAATTTGGACTAAAAATGTGTAATAGAAAATCTATTTGCTTTTTCCTCGAGTTTGTACTACATATATATTAGTAAAATTGAAGCACATGCCATTGTAAACCAGAAGTTTACAAATTACATTTAAATGTATTATTGGTAAAATCGGTTGGGTCATCTCGGATATAATATGATGCAAATAAATAATATTGAAAAACCAGAAGTTTCTTCAATCTAGTAAATTTTTGTATCTTTCTAAAGGAAATTAAAAATCAGAGGTTTAGGGGTGTTACAACCAACATTAGATAGATGATCAGAGAGACTTGAGATGATGATAGTGGGAGGAAGCATCAGAGAATTTCTCCATATGAGTTTGCAAAAATTCTTTCTCTAGGTAGAGAGCCTAGAATTCTTGTTATCATAAAAGATGTAGAATAACCGACTCCATGTGATTTCAGCGGTGGAATTATGTTCAATGATAGTGTTGAGAAGATCATCGGAGATTTTTCATATATCATTGTAAAATGACAGCGTTGAGACGAAGCCATAAATGTGGATAATTAGTTTTGAGAGAGGGATCTGCGGCTGGTTCAGAGGGAATGATATGGTCAATCACTTGAATAACTCGAGCATGAATTTTGAAAAGTTCTGATCACGTGTTATACGTTCCCTTTTTAGTGCTCAGAGTAATCTTGATGAAATTAGTAATATTTGGGACAGTGAGAATTAGTCTCTTATGCCAATAGTTAGTGACTTGGTTTATATAATTAACATGTATTATTCATTTTTATTGTATAGACTACAGTTTTTCACTACAAAGTTTTTTTATAGAAAAAATATATTGCAACCTATTAAATAAAGTTTTTGTTATAGTAAAAATATGTTGCAACCTATTAAAGAGAATATCAATAGTCTAAAGTTGCTATGTGAAATGAATATTTTTGGCATAGATAATTCACATGAATTATATTTGAGGTATTTAATATCTTTGTATTACACAACAGAATTTGGACTAAAAATGTGTAATAGAAAATCTATTGGCTTTTTCCTCGAGTTTGTACTACATATATATTAGTAAAATTGAAGCACATGCCATTGTAAACCAGAAGTTTACAAATTACATTTAAATGTATTATTGGTAAAATCGGTTGGGTCATCTCGGATATAATATGATGCAAATAAATAATATTGAAAAACCAGAAGTTTCTTCAATCTAGTAAATTTTTGTATCTTTCTAAAGGAAATTAAAAATCAGAGGTTTAGGGGTGTTACAACCAACATTAGATAGATGATCAGAGAGACTTGAGATGATGATAGTGGGAGGAAGCATTAGAGAATTGCTCCATATGAGTTTGCAAAAATTCTTTCTCTAGGTAGAGAGCCTAGAATTCTTGTTATCATAAAAGATGTAGAATAACCGACTCCATGTGATTTCAGCGGTGGAATTATGTTCAATGATAGTGTTGAGAAGATCATCGGAGATTGTTTCATATATCATTGTAAAATGACAGCGTTGAGACGAAGCCATAAATGTGGATCATTAGTTTTGAGAGAGGGATCTGCGGCTGGTTCAGAGGGAATGATATGGTCAATCACTTGAATAACTCGAGCATGAATTTTGAAAAGTTCTGATCACGTGTTATACGTTCCCTTTTTAGTTCTCAGAGTAATCTTGATGAAATTAGTAATATTTGGGACAGTGAGAATTAGTCTCTTATGCCAATAGTTAGTGACTTGGTTTATATAATTAACATGTATTATTCATTTTTATTGTATAGACTACAGTTTTTCACTACAAAGGTTTTTTATAGCAAAAATATATTGCAACCTATTAAATAAAGTTTTTGTTATAGTAAAAATATGTTGCAACCTATTAAAGAGAATATCAATAGTCTAAAGTTGCTATGTGAAATGAATATTTTTGGCATAGATAATTCACATGAATTATATTTGAGGTATTTAATATCTTTGTATTACACAACAGAATTTGGACTAAAAATGTGTAATAGAAAATCTATTGGCTTTTTCCTCGAGTTTGTACTACATAGATATTAGTAAAATTGAAGCACATGCCATTGTAAACCAGAAGCTTACAAATTACATTTAAATGTATTATTGGTAAAATCGGTTGGGTCATCTCGGATATAATATGATGCAAATAAATAATATTGAAAAACCAAAAGTTTCTTCAATCTAGTAAATTTTTGTATCTTTCTAAAGGAAATTAAAAATCATAGAAATTGAGTCTATGATATTAATTGTTGCATCGACCAAAATATCATGCAAAAGATTTGTTGTCTACTCACAATCAGAAGTTTGTGAAATTATTTTCTCTTACAAGGATCTCATTTCCTGAATGGTTTACTTTCCATAACTTTCTTGATAAGTATTACATATATTATTAAAAATTGATATTGAACATCTTGTAGCATATGTTCATATAAAAAAAATAGACTTGAAGATTCATTCTTTAGACGTCTAAAGTTAGCTGTATGATTGATACTTATGAGATTGTAACTTCTAAATTATGATTAAGAAACACACAATCAAGTATGTTAAAATATTTATTCGCATCAAGCCAACAAGATACTATATTTTAGTCCTCCCTTAACTTATAATTTATTCTAATACTTCTCACCTAAGTGAATCTTTTGACGTGTTGTGTGTATATTCCAATTACTCCAATAAAATATATTAAGATGAGTTATGAAAGAATATTGAAAAAATGTAATTGATATGAATCCCAATTTTGAGGATATAAATTGAGAAAATAATAAAATACTTGATTTCAGCCCGATAAGTTGATTATCACTTAATAAATTCATTTTTCTTATATTACACTAGTGCAGAAATGACTTTTTACATCGGGTGAAACTGACTTTTTACATCGGTTCTGGGTCCGATGTAAAGTCAGGCGATATAGTAAATCAGGTACTTTTTACATCGGTTCTGGGACCGATGTAAAAAGTCCATTTTCTACATCGGTTATAATATAAGAATGATGTAAGAAATAGTTATTACAATATTTAAAAAAAAATGATGTAATTTTTTACATCGGTTGGAAGTAATACCCGATGTAAAAAGTTACATCGGTTATAATATAAAAATGATGTAAGAAACAGTTATTATACACATTTTTTTAAAAAATTGATCCAGTTTTTTACATCGGTTGGTAAGTAATACCCGATGTAAAAAGTCCCTAGTGACACAACTTTTTACATTCTAAGAACCGCTTTCAGTCTGGTGCATATCACACCTCACACTCAAAATAATAGATCATTTTTGGTTCATAAATTCAAACCACTAGAGTGTATTGAGTCCATTGTAGCGCCCATTTTCACTTATTAGTTTTAGAGTTCGGGATATGGGGGAAATATAGTAAAAAAAAAAATGAAGATGATAATAATGTTGTGAACACACTTTTTAAAGAGATGAAGAACTTTAACTAAAAATAGTAATAAAGAACAGGAGAGTTTTCATCTTTTTAGTTTTCATCTTTTTAACATAAGTGAGAAGTTGCAATTAGGGGTATAACTTTCCTACTTGCAGCATTTTTTCTTCTTTATTTAGGTTAAAAATAGTGGGGACGCTACATTATAGAAAGAAAACAAAAACATTACATTCAGTAGAGAACTTCGTAAACAATATTAGTTGTTAATGTGCTGAGCACCACCACATAGGTTAAACCCTTGCAATTTAAATAAAAATCATATAAAATTCAATTATTTAAACTGGGTGTAAAATAGTTTTGCACACATCCTCAATCATATCTGATTAAGGTTAACCTAACAAGTAATAACCTTTTACTCATTGGCCCCTCGTTAGGTCTTTCAAAACAGTCAATGCTCTAAAATTCACTAAATGAAATATAATACAGCTCCGTTGAATAAAGGGGCTAAGATAAAAATGTGGTGGAATAGCATTTTCCTAACAATACTAAAAATGTTTCCAAGAGAAATTTACCCCTAAAATGTAAAATTCACCGCGATTTCCGCCACGATAGTCATCACGATTGTCACCACGAGAGCCTTCACAAAAAAAAAGGTAGACTTCAGGAAATGAAGTATGGAAAATGCAAAAAGAACATATTCACCAATCAAGATAGATGTCTCTCAATCAAACTTACCATAGTCTCTAGTATTCTTCAGCCCAAGATAGTGCCCTGGTGTTGGAGTTCTTGCACGCTTTCTTCTTGACTGAAACAATACAGGAGCTCAATCAGTAGTGCTTAAATGATATAAAACACATATCAACAGAATACTAATGAAAGCAAGTAAACTCTTGTGACATCTTTTTTGTCTGTTCTATGAAGTAACATTTTTAAATTATATTAATAGAATCCTCTAAAAGAATTTTCATCAAGGATTAGAGGTAAAAGAGGCCAGCTTCTAAAAAAGGGAGGAAAAATCATATCCACGAGCGCGTGATTAGTGCCAGGTGTGAGATACCATAAAAAAGGCTGATTATAAAGTTGTTGAAAATGTCCGTTGTTTAGTTGAGAGTTGAAAGTGAATGCTGAGGTTGAAAGGTTGAATGGGCAATATAGTTGATATGTTTAAGTTGATCAGTAGCATTTGATTAGCTGTCTAAGCTTGCCATTGATTTAGCAGTTTCGCTATATTTGTATCGATGAAAGAAAAGAAAAGTACATTTATTTTACCAACCACTGTCACAAGTGAAAAGTAAACACATTACCCGTTCTACAGTGACATAGAGGCCCTCTAAAACTGATGGGTTGAGATGCTTGATACACCGCTCAGCATCCTCGTGGGAATCCATAGTAACAAAAGCAAAACCACGAGAAATTCGGGTACGTGGATCCACTACAAGAAAGCATGAAGCAACCTATAGATGAAAAAACAACCTTTGAATAAAATTATTCCAGGAGGAAGCAACCTACTGAAGAAAAGAACCATTGAATAAATGAATAGAAAACCGATATGCTACTCACTTTTCCCTCCTTTGAAAAATGGTCCTCTAGGTCCCTCTTAGTGACCCTTGAAGATAGATCAGTAACATAAAGTGTATTACCAGGATTTGTAGGATTGGCCGCCCTGCAATACAATTGATACGATGAAAGTTAATAGCATATCAATAGACCCAAGTTAACACAAAAGCACAGCTATCCCTTTGAGAAGTACTAGTTAAGAAGTATGGCTTTCGGCAATGAATCACAACAGGATTAAAAACATAAACAGAAAAAGGACCAACCTTTCCGGGCTCCGAGACCTTGATCTGAAAAAGAAGGAAAAAACCATCCATTCCAGAGTGATAATGAGAGGTCAGAAAAGTAAAAAGTGTCAGAAACAAAGAGAGCTAGAGAAGTCAGTTTATAAAATAAAATATAACCCTTTAAAGCTAAACCGTTTTTGCTATTAACCTGCCACGGCCTCTGGAGTCAGATCTTGGTCTTTGTCTAGGCACAGACCTCGACCTTGATCTCGATCGTGATCTTGATTGAGCCTTCCAGGGTGACGGTGAAGGGGACTTTGAAATCCTGAAATACCATTATGCCCAGAGAGAAAATAACCTCATTGTGAGTAGAATCCAAAACAAATTTATATGTATGTGTATGTGTAACATCATAAACATTGAGTCTCATAAAAAGACTAGTGGTGCAAGATGTGTAAGATAATAGTGGTGCAAGATGCCCAGGACAGACAACATTTACCTGGATTCCTTTCTGACAGAGCTGCCACCATAAAAATATTAGTGGTGCAAGATGTGTATTGTAAGATAATAGTTGGATAAAACAACATCAAAGATAATAAAAACTATCTATATACCTCTGAACGCAAGGAATGGAAGTACCCATTTAATGCAAATTTAATGTAAAAAGTTTGTTAATTGTATTTTTTACATCATATATTTTGATACTCGATGTAAAAACCTTTTCTCAAATGTCTTTTTTTTAGTAGTGTTAGGGGGGGGGGGGGGGGGGAATAAGCAGTTCAAATTATGAAAAAGAAGTTCAATGAAAAATTTTATATCTTGATCCTCCTGCTAATACTACAACCGAAATAGATTCTCCTGTTGGATAATCTAATATTGTAAATAAGTTGAAATCGTGCATGAAGCATAGTTGGAAAGTCGGTTCCAATATTAATAATCATCTTTCAAGAAAATAAGTTAAAATTAAGGATGTATCAAGTGAAGATATGAAAATTCTAAGAGCATTTTGATATAATTTATTTTGAGTTCAAGAAGAACTAATCAGGTACCTGAAATATATGAAAATAAAGAGATCTTGATAAAACATGTCATAAATGGAATAAGATGAAACCAAAATAAAGTCAATATTAACAAATGTGTTTGGGTAAAATATAGCACTAAAGATGATACATGATAATGATGACCATAAATCAAAGTCCATCAACATTGTAGACAAAGTGAGAATTGGCTAAAATAAGTACATATCCAATTAAAGAAGAATTAAACTCACTTTATAGGCGACTCATTTTTGGACCTGTAGTCCGAACACCTCAAGGTGTGAAACCAATTGGATATAAATGAGTTTTTGTGAAAAAGAGAAATAAGTATGGTATAAAGGTTGATTTGTTGCTCAATGATTTTCACGAAGACCTAAGATTTATTTTGATAAAACATATCCACCTGTAGTAGATTCAATTGATTTTTGATATTTAATTAGCCTTGTAACACATAAGTGCTTAATTTGAACATGATGGATATTATGACGTCTTATTTATATACTTTACTTAATAGTAAGATTTACATGAAAATCCCTGAAGAGTTTAATATATCAGAGGCACACAATTTTGGATCTCGAGAAAATTACTCCATCGAATTGAACAAGTCTCTCTATTGGTTGAAACAATCTGGACGCATGTGGTATAATCGCCTCAGTGAATATTTAATAAAGGATGGATATACAAATAACTCAACTTGTCCTTGTATTTTTATAAAATGATGTAGAAAAGAATTTGGAATAATAGTTGTCTACGTGGATTATATAAATATTGTTGGAACTCCTGAAGAGCTTCCAAAAGCTATAATTTGCTTAAAGAAAGAATTTGAGATGAAGGGCTTAGAAAAAATAAAATTATATCTACGCTTACAAATTGAGAAATTGGACAATGGAATATTTGTACATCAGGAAGGTTATATAGAAAAGTGTCGAAACGCTTCTATATGAACAAATATCACTCGTTGTCTACTCCAATGGTTGTTAGATCATTAGATATAGAGAAAGATCCTTTTAGGCCTCGAGAAAAGGATGAAAAATTGCTTGATCCTGAAGTACCATATCTCAGTGTAATTGGAACACTAATGTACCTTGCTAATTATACATGTCTTGATATATCATTTGTAGTCAATCTATTAGCAAGATACGATTATTCACCTACACAAAGACATTGGAACAAAGTCAAACATATACTTCGTTATCTTAGAGATGCAAGTTACTCGTCAGATCCTCACAATGGAAGATCAAAAATAGGTTATTTGTTTACATTTCATGGTACAACCATTTCACGGAGATCTATAAAATAACCCATGTCAACAACTTCATCAAACATCGCATAACTATTAACACTATTTGAAGTCACTTCGAAGACAAAATTTTAAGCAACTACTACAAAGAATATCGTCTCACATATAAGTATATGCACGAGGGGAGAAATAAATATGTTTTACACTCTTTTTCCCTTCATCATAGTTTTGTCCCACTGTATTTTCTTGGTAAGGTTTTTAACGAGGCAGTTCACATTTAAAGGATATTGAACTCTTATTCCTTTACTAGATTTTTTCTCACTTGCTTTTTTCTAGTAAGGTTTTAACTAGGAATTTCCTTAATGGATATCCATGGGGGATTCTTATGAATAATATTAAATAAATGCGGATATCTATTTTCCCTTGCTTTCTGTATTCCTTAACTCATATAAATTAATTTCCAAAATAGGTCATGCACTATAAATATGATCCATGTTGTAATGTTAAAAGAACTTGAAAAATAATACAATATTACTTTCTCTATTCTCTTTCTCTCCTTTATTTCTCCTTCATCTCTACATTGTTTTCGTTAATTTAATAACAATATTTATTTTATTTATCTAACTTTTTTTTCTTTATATAAAATACAAATGAATACAAAAGTCATTGAGAATATACTTGCATCCAACATTTGAACTTTCCCAAGATTCAGTGAAATAGATATCCAACAGCTGATCTTCACTGATAGTGATGACAATGAATCAAATTCAAAATTTGTTATATATTTATATTTTAATATTCTGTATAAACAATGAAATATTATGTGTAAATAATGTAATTTAATATTTTGTGTAAACTATGTTATTTGTATTTAAAAAAGAATTTATTTTTCCCAGATTTTGGTCAAAAACTGAGAGGTATGTGGCACTAGTTTTGAAAATATAAAAAACTGTTTTTGGGGATCAAATCACTGACCATTTCAATTATCACCCCAATTAATCGAAAATCGAGGGGTAAAGTGGCAAGTTTTTAGGACGCCATTCATTACCTCATTTATAACACCGAGGTAAAATTCCCTTTGTGCTGAGGTAACATCGGTTTTCTTGTAGTAGTAGTAGTGCAAGGTCATTACTGACCCACATCTCAATTAAAAATAGGTGTTCAACAGTCCACCATTGACTAGGTGGGCAGCGCCCTTTTCCAAGAAAACACTAGGTCCAAAAGACCTCTATAAATACCTTTCCCCTCAAAGGGAGGTGGAAGAGGAGAATCTCAAGTCACACACACTCTCTTAACACTTTAAAAAGTATAAAGCTCATTGTCACCTTAACACCATTATCACTGATGATCATACGCCCGTTATCGGGCATCACCAGCTGTCAGCAGGGCTCTCACCTCACATGAGCAGGTCTCATAGATAATCAAAAACAACACCGAACGGAGTTTCTCACCGCCGTGTGTAAATGATGAGTGCTAAATTATTGTGAATTTGAGTGTGAATAATTAACACTCATCGGCTTAATTGATTTTCTTTTTGTCAATAAACTTCAACTTTAGTATATATTTGGTATAGTTTATGTTATAGTGTATTTATTCTGTTATTGTGTAAATATCATTGAGTTTAATTGATTTTATCTCATTTTTGTAGGTATTCAAGCATTAATATTTAGGAATTGTTAGAAATACAATTGAATAAGCTTTCCAACACTTCGGACCATGCGCGAATCAGAGTTACCGTTCAAAACTTATGGCTGAATCAGTGCTGTTTTTTCAACTTTCTGTCATCTATCGCCGGACGATGCTTTTTGGTCGTCGGGTGATTCTGGAGCGACCTGAAACATGGAAAAAAATATAGTTTTGGTCGCCAAGCGATGCAGGACAATCAGAAATGCGTATTTAGGAGTAAAACAAATTTTTTTGATATGGTTTTGGGTATTTTTGATCCCAACTCCATCAACTTTCATTTTTTGATAGTTAGAGCTTAGAAAACAACATTGAAGCTTGCATACGGATGATCCGGGGTGGATTGCTCATCAATCGACACTAGCAAACTGGTAGATTTGTGGTTCATTTCTCTTCCTCTTCGTGTATTCTTTATGTGTTAAGTTTGTACATGTAATTACTCTGAGCTTATGTATATTTGTTATAACAAATGTAATTTTTAACAACAAAGAATTATGGGTTTAATGTACATGTGTAAAAAAAATTTACACGGTCGGCCAATAGAAAATCACCAATATGTGAAATCATCAAAGTTATTTTAAATTATCAGTATAATATGGCGGGATACACGTCCTTTCATTGGATAGTGCATCACCTATTTTCTCAATAATTATTAGCTTTTTTTTTCTATATATAGATAAGCATTTGTCATTCTGAAATAACTTCTATATACAAAATTATGCTGTATTTTTGTTGTTTCTATTAAGTATTTTTTAGACAGAAGCTTCCATTAAATTTTAATCAACAATAAAACCGATTTTTCATGTGTGGAATATGTATGTTTTCATTATAGAAATAGAAAACCGCATAAGTACAGTTTGTAATAACCTACTCGGTAGATTATTCTCTTTTAAATATATACTCACATGAATTTTCTTTCTTTTCATATAATTCAAACAATTTCCACATTCAATTCAAATTCCTTTATTCTTAATAGCCACAATGAAGATATCTTCATCTCCAAGAACTCACAAAACTCTTTTGGCAATTATCTTCATTATTTTCTGTTCCCACAATTCAGTGGAGGGTCGAGGTTTTTCATATGCATTACTTTCTTTTTTTTTTGCCCTAATCCTTATTTTTTTATTATAATATATATTTATGTTTCAATGATTAAAATTAAAAATTCTTATACAATTATAGGAAGAGCACCACACGTGGTAAGTAGAAACTCGTTTCCACATGATTTTTTGTTTGGTGTTGGAACATCTGCTCTACAGGTAAAAATACTTTATAGTCTTATACATTATATAATATTTCAATCATAATATATATATATATATATATATATATATATATATATATATATATATATATATATATATATATATATATATATATATATATATATATATATATATATATATATATATATAATTTAATTTCTCTATGTCTCTTTTTAACATGTACTTATTACTGAATAAAGACTGAAGGATCTGCTCATGAAGGAGGGAGAGGACCAAGTGTTTGGGATTCAATAGTTATGAGTGAACAAGGTTGGAAATAAATTTGTTAATGCATTTGGATTTTATTTTACAAATTTCTATCATATGACTTGAAGAATCAAGTTTTTATCAGTGAATTATTAAAACTTGAGAAATGTTAATTAACTTCGTGTATACTATCTTTTTGTTTAGCGAAAAC